AATTTTGATATAGAATCATTAATTACGTATACAAACCTTATAAAAAACGTATCATTTCCTTATTTCGATTTCTTATAAGGCGGGAATGGATCTATGATCCCTTAAATAATGGCGAGAATGTAATCTACGATCCTGTGAATGACGATGGTGAAAATAAGATCTATGATCCCGAGAATGATTATGAGAATGGAATCTATGATCCCAGCGAGAATGAGATCTATGTCAGTACTGATATCAGTGGCGATCTACATTCTGTCTTCTATACTGATGACGATTTACGTCTAAAAATAATAAAAAATAATAAATAAATTAAAAAATTGAAGTTTTAAAATGTAAAAAATATATTTCTTATTACTATTATTTAATAAATAATTATCAGTTCGAAGCCAAAATTTGTTATCTAACTCTGTACAAAATATCTGATCATGCAGAGTTGGGTTTATTATTGGTTGATTGTGAGGATTCTTCCCAGCTTTCAACCTCTTGAGATTTTCGTACCCATATTTTAATGAGTACCATTTTGAGAGGAAGAAGCGGTGAACCCTCTATTAATAAACAATTAATTGGATATAGTTTTCTATATCCTTTCATGGCGATTATTTGGAACGAATTTAAAATCGTCATGATAATCGCGTCTTAAACGAATTAATTCTCTTACACTGTTGATGGTTCATTCGAATAGAGCTACAGCGGGAGCATTCAAAGCCATAATGATAGAAATAAAAAAAAGGAGGAAGACGAAATAGTTGGGATCGAGAAATAAAAAAAATAAAAAAAACGAAATAAACGAGAATCGAGAAATAAAAGAGAGGAGGAAAAAACGAAATAAACGGGATCGAGAAATAGAGAAGGAAAAGGAAAAAACGAAATAAACGAGATGAGAAATAGAGAAGGAAAAGAAAAAAAATGAAATAAATGGGATTGAGAAATAAAAAAAAATAAAAAATGAAATAAACAGCGATTGAGAAATTGACGTGAAATAAAAAATCAGAAAAAAAATGAATTAAAATGGCGATCGAAAAAAATAGGTGGTATAAAAAACGAAATATTAAAAAAGAAAAAAAAAACGAATTAGAAATGGCGATCGATAAAATAGGTGGAATAAAAAAATTGAAAGATTAAAAAGAAAATAAATTAAAAGAATTGAAATAACAGATAAAATGATAAGAAAAATAATCGAAAAATAAAAGATGAAGGAGACAAAAGAAGATTTATATTCGTGATTTTATTGATGATATATTGTGAAAAATAATAGATTCGTGAGCGTTAATTACATATATTTATATCTTTTATTTTTTTGCATTATTATTTTCATTATACAAAGACTAGAGAGCAATAATGAATATTTGATTAAAGAAAAGTATTTTATAATCAAATGCTTCTTGAAATAGCCAAAATTTTGATTCTTCATAACAAAATAAATGATTGTACTCCATAGGATTTATCGCAATATCGATTTACTAGATTTGTCAGCTATTTTAATGATCTGCTCTGGACTTTATGATCATGAACTTGGTCTGGATGGAAATGGAATGAACTAATTCGACTATTTCCGTTTATTAAAAAAAATATAATGAAATGGTATGAACTTGAACTTGTTCGACCATTTCCTTTTTTTAAAAAATATATAATGTTTTCTAGAAGATAACTTCTTGTCAATGTTTCTCTGATTTTACATTGACTCTAGCAGATTATGTTTATATTCAATTAATGTTGGATAGTGCATTATTAATATCTTGAAAAGTCAACCTTAATTTTTCATACTACTTTATTTATGAAAGTAGGACCAAATCTTATTCTTTAAAAAAAGCATGGGTCTTTTCGAAGTGCTTTATGCCATGACTTTTGGATTTTGAGTTAAGTAAAGTGAAGTGGAAAGATTTTTTATTTTGAAATACATTACAAAAACTGAATGGATTTGGTTATAATTTTAGTCAGAAATCGACCATTTATATAAGATAATCAAAGAGCGAGAATGCTAATGTCACAAAGATTTAATAATATTTTGTTGATAGATAACAAAGTCCGATGGAAATATGGCTGTGCTTTAAAAAAATATTGACATAATTAGATAGGCTTTTTGCAATTGTTATTGAGTGGCGGAAATTATGTGGTGTAGAACACATTTTTAAAATTCAAGTTTTTCAATATTCACGAGTTGAATTTCGGCTGAATAAAAATTCATTAGCATAGAATCGTTACGTATCAAATGGTTTGCTAACTTATCTCAGTATCTTAATTTTAAATGTTACTTACTAGACCGTAAATTCTTTTTAATACACTGTGTATATCGATATATCATAAAAAATAAGTTCAGAAACAAATGTCCAGATAGTGTCAATAAAAAGGTATGATCAATTTAAGAAAATTTTTCGACGAATCTCTTAATTGTACAAAAAATAAAATAAAAATTAACTGCCTATTATCTTTATGACAACTTCAAATTAAAATTTGATGATAAGTTCGTATAATGTTACAACAATTATTGAATCAATTGTAAAAGAGATTATTGCAATTAATAAATTGTAAGTTCAAATACAACAAATTTCATTTTTTTTACAAGACAGAAACCGTGATAAAATTTATAATATATTACGCGTTATTCAAAGCATGTATATTTATTTTGAGAACAGAAATTAATATCTTATTTTAATGATCTCATTCCGAGGTTAATTGCATGAATCGAAGCTTGAGATTGGCGCATTATCAAAAGTGACGATTTCCGTTGCATCCATCACGAATAGCTTTTGGTATTAACGTATTAAACGAAGTTTGAAACTTTGAATTAGTTAGGTGGAATACTCGAAAGTTTAAAAAGTAATTGTAATATAGCGGAACAACAACGTCTTGAATCTTCTCTTAATAGTAATTTGGGGGCTTTTTTATAGACTATAATGACTTTCCTGAATTCAGATTTCCTCATATCAATGGATTAAATGAATGCGTTATATTTTATATTTATAGTGTATTTTATTATTTATTTAATTATTTGAACATATTAATCCCTTTTTATATTTTGGAGACATTTATTTGCGTTACGGCAATATGAGATTAATTAGATTACTAGATTTATCGTTATACAGAACCAAATTTCTTTTCAAAGGAATTGCTTAATTAATATATTAATTTAAGAGCGACTTTTTGATATTTTATTTCATTTCATTTTAATATTTTAATAATATAAAATACTTTTTTTTTGAGTAAAAGATTAAAGTAATTAATTTAAACTTTTTTCGATGACTATTTAATAAAAAGATAAAATTTGAACTTGATCCCCCATAATATTTCATATTTTGAATAATGTCAGAAGAAACATAACTATTGAATATTCAAATAATAAAAGAATCCTTCCTGTAGGGTCGTAAATGGAATGTTAAAATGATTAGAAATGTAGAGAAAGAAATTTTCCCACCATTTCACAGATGCGGGAGATATTGTATTATTTGCAAATCATATGCGCTACTTCATTTATCATTGCTTATTAAACATAGCATAGTTATGAGGCGAAGCAAATAAATCATATTTATTGATATGTACGCGCCACTTAGTAATGACATAATGCTAACATGATAGGCAAAAACCTAGAATTTTAAATAAATAATTACAAAATGTTTACGAGGTAAGAGGCGGAGGAACATAGCCACATTCTCCTTGGAAAAGTAACTCATAAATAATTTTGACGCCAAATAAATATTTGGCGTTTAACACGGCAAACTAATATTTATTATTTGTCAGGTAATATTTTTATTTCTAAACTTTCTCAAATCACCCGGGTCATGACACGAATACAACCCGCATATCATGGGCGTCTCCTTCAATGTGATTGAGATTGCACAAAACATTACCATCATTAAATAATGATTTCAATCTCATTCCTCTATCATTTTGCCATTAATTGATTATCATGTCTTCAAAAATAATTATAAAAGAAAGAAAGCAGTCACTCGACAAATAGTACACAACTCCTTTTATGAACCCTCTAACCTTAAACAAAGCAAATACCGAACATGAAGAGGTAATATAAATAATTTCTATTATAGTAATTTGTATTCAAAGTGGAACGATCTCAATTTATACTCCATCAATGATAAATTTTAGCCCATTTGTATCCGAAAAATTATTCCATAGCAATCAAACTATTTTTGACCAATAAAATTATTTCTCCGATCCATTGAGTTAGTAGGTCACATAATAAAATCTCGTTATTCCAATGTCAATTAATTTCTTGAGTGCATGTCCCGGATAACCACGTGATCTGATTACTTTTTTTTCTAAAAAAAAGAATTGAGGTTATTATATCTTTTTTTTTTTTAAAAGTCTCCGCGAAGACAATAAATAAACTTTAAATGTTATGATTCAAATGTATTATAGTACACTTGTAATCATTATCTACGTATAAATAAACTATTGACATTTGCGAAATTATCTTTCGGCATTACCAAATGCTTCTTTGCGACTGATAAATAAGTAAAAGTAACAAACGTGAATGAATTCATGTGAACGTAAAAGTTTAATAGATGGTTAGCTTTTAAGGAAGAAAAAAAAATGCAAAAAAGAAAAGAATGGATAGATTAAAGGGTCAATATAATACATATATAATGATGTTTACCTTTCTCAACTTTGATGAAGAAAGAAAAGAATAAAAGGTATCGAAATAAATAAATGTAATTTGATGAAAAGTTATTCATTACGATTTATTTTATTCCTTCAATAACGCGTGTTCTTGATAAAATAAAAAAAATTCTCAAAACGGAGTGTGTACCTTTATTTTAACAATCTATCAGTTAACTTTCAATTTAGACTTCAGACAGAAAATTTTAAGGCATCTGTAAAATTCTTTTTTTCATTTTTAATAAGAACGTTACATACAAAAGATCATAATTTAATAGAGTTATATGGTTATAAATTCATTTATTGAAAACCGTTTCAAAAAACTTTTGTGGCGCAGTTAAGACTGAAAAAGTTTTTCATTTTTTATTAGGGCCGGTATATTAATTTTTATTTAATAAATAATAATAATGATAATAAATTGAAACACTGAAACAAATTTCTTCAAATAAACCACTTGAATAATAATAACTTCTTTTGGGACAACCCATCATCAACTTTTCTTTCTCCTACATCATCATGTTCATTATTCTCATCATTAATATTGAATTCATTTTGCTCAATATTCTTGAATTTGCTAAAATACTGTTTTAGAATTAAGCACATGTACAATTATCGGCATATTTTTTTTCAAAAAAAAGAAGCGTAGATGGTTAGATAATAATTAATTTTATTTAAAAAAAAAAAAAAAAAACGTGTGACCGTGTCAAATTTAAAATTTTATGTCACGAGAACCTAAAAATTTATTTTGCCCGGCCTTATAGAACATTAATTAAGAAAAAATTCCTAAGGATTTATAGTAAAAACTTCACTAAGTCTGAAGCAATCCGGGCCTCCATCATGTGTGGCCCAACTTCTAAACATAAATTTACCAGGTAATGTAGCGGACGAAGGGACTTCAAGTGTCAAAGATAGCAAAGCTTCTTCTCCGGAACCAAAAGAAATACCTTTATCCCATAAAGAACTAACAAAATCTCCGTTTTCATTAAATAATTCAAGGTCATATATTTCTGTCACTAGAGATTTTCCTTTTGTCCAAACTACATTTGTTTCTGTACCATTTATCAATTCTGCACCAGCTTTAGGAGTGGTGAATCCAAATCCTATGAACGGGGAAAATAAGGAGAAAATCTTGATTAGAAAGATTTTTTTTTTTTTAATAAAAAAAAGGCAGAGATAATTTGAAATCAAATAAATCCTACCATCACAAAAATTTTCTGGAACTAAAAATTAATGAAATCGGGTCGAAAAGATCAATTTCAAAAAGATCAATTTAAAAATGAAAGAAAAGAGAAAAAAATAAATGAAAAGAAAAAAAAGGGAATTATAATTACCTCCTGCTCGATTTTGAATAGCAAGAGCAGTTACTTCATTAAATAATGTGAATAAAGAGAATAATAAGAGAATTGAAATAAATGAATTGAATTTGATGACGGTATTCATTTTTGTAAATATTTCTTTTTGTTGGAATTAATGAAAAACGATGAAAAGTTCTTGTATTTATAAAGTTTTTCGTTTATAATGAATCAATCATCGACTATTGAGCAGCAAGAATAAAGGATACAATTAGAAATGATCTAATCATTTTGAGAGTATATATCTTATTTTTAGAACGAACTAGGCTTATTTTTTTTTTTAGATCAAAATGAAAAAAGAGCTGCATAAAATTTTAGATCAACAACAAATCAATTTATTCATGGGATTTTGTTCAAAAGAGGGGTTTTTTTTGGAAAAGATTTTATTAACGTAATTAATATCAAAATGATTTATGAAAATAATATATTTTTACATATTTATTATGATTCTAATGATTTATCTAAATGTAAAAAAAAGCTCTCTGTCATAACCTTTAATTAATCAATCGATGATGACATCACCACCGGCCCAGGCCAAGAAAATTAATGCCGAACTAAAATATAAAGAAGCCGCAATATCCCAAATAATATTCCAATTTCTTCCTGTTACGTCCAGAATCCAACCAGTTAATGCCACACCAAAAATACCAGGGATCACTCCCAATGTGTTCCCAAGACCGTAGATGATTCCTGCATATTTAGGGGCAATATCAAACTAAAAAAGGAAAAAAGTAGTTAGAATTTTATAGTATTTTTTTATTTTTAGAGGAATGGAGAATCACCTGATTTACAGATACGCCCGCTAATGTGAACGTATTTAACCCCATGCCGATCGTAATTAAAATAATACCCTCAAATGGAGTTGATGCGAAATACGCCGCCTAAAAATAGGTTGGTGGAAATCATTTTGTTTTTAATCCAATTTAAGATTGACCAAAATGATAAAATACTAAATAGAATGAATGATTTATACTTACCAATAAAAGGAAAATAGCGACGCCAAAACTTCCAATAGATTGAGCGATCCTCCTAATGGTTATAACTCGAAATTTAACTTTATGAATCATATGATCACCAATCGTGCCGACGACAAAACCCATGGCACCCTGCACAGCATAAGGTATGACAGCAAAGTATCCCAATTTCTTGATATCAATTCCAAAGTGATCTAAATAATACGTTGGCAACCATGTCAACATGATGAAATATCCCCACGAATTGCAAAAATATGTTATCAATAATGCCCAGACTTCTTTCCTTGAAAGTATCAATTTCCATGGTATGTCATTTGTTAATTTAGAATTCTTCTTCTTATTGTCAGCTAACAAAGGAGATGATTCATCCTCTGCGACATTAGGAACATCTTCCTGTCGTGATACATTAACTTCGGGATTCGCGTTTAGACGCTCCCGTTGTGTTACATTATTTTCTTCGTCCTCAAACTTGCCGACTCCTTTTATTAACTTTAATTCTTCTTGACTGATCCCTTCATATTGATCCGGTAAGCTTGATCCATAAATTTGCCATAATAAGCTCCAAAACATACCGATTGTTCCAAACAAATAAAAGATGCACTCCCATCCATAAATTCCGTTACCCAACCATGTGGCTAACGGCAATCCAATAACGGCTCCGATAAGACTTGATCCTGTTACGACGGCGACGGCTCTTGATCTTTCTTGTGCCGGGATCCACTTTGCTATTAAGGATTGCACTCCCGGAAATAACGCTCCTTCTCCTATACCAACGCATATTCTACATATTATTAAAGGATTCAATCCAAATTCGGATGCTTTCGGTGTTAATAATGTGAAAAGCACTCGTGTTGCTGCGGCTATTTAATATATAGACAATGGTGTGATTAGTGAAATAGCAGGGGATGGACGTGATAATTATAACATATTTTATGGACAGTGACCTATTGCTAAAACCGGCTTTCCTCCAAATTTATCGGCTAGCGCTCCTCCTAATACTTGGGTCGTTAAGTATCCTACGAAAAATGCTGATAACACTATTCCTTGTGTCGTTGATGACCATCCAAAATCCATTGCCATAAAAACTATCGCAACTGCGATGTTCGATCGATCTAATAATAATAATGATCATTATAAATAAATTTAAAATGATATAAGTTCTATGGTCAAGAAAACTTGATTTTATAAATACCTGCATAGCAGATTGCAAAAGCTACCCCGCATAGCCCAACAACTATAAATCGTTTTGGAATATGATATGTTAACTGATCTCGACTCATTTTTATGTCGGATGCCATTGTTTTTTTACTAATGACTTTTTTTTTTTTTTTATGATTTTTTTTTTAAAAAAAAAGATTTCGTTCATATTTATATTATAGAATATATCTTATTTTTTTTTTTTTTTGAAAGCTTGAATAACGTTTATGGTTTTCTGCCGCTACTTCTTTATGAATATTCATTGAATATTCATCAAAATAAACGTGTTTGATTAATATGCATATTAATGTTAGTTTCCTAGATTAAGATTCGAGATCTACAGGATAATAGGTATCTTGATTTTGATTTTTTTTTAAAAAAAATCTTAATCTGTCGAAGCGCGACATTTATATTAAAGATTTCACAATAATAATGATTTTAACCATATCTGTTCATTTGTTTATTGAATATAATTTCTTTTTTTTTTTAAAAAAAAAAAAAAATCTTCTCACGATTATACAATACCAATACCTTAGTTTCTTTGATGTTGCAGTAAAATGAATGGTCAAAAAAAATTTTTAAAAAAGAATCATCGCCTTTAGGAATTTATCAAGAGATTAGTTAATTGGCTAAAGAATCACTTTTTTCACGTTAAATCAGATAATCTTATAATCTCGTGGAACGGTAATTACCGAACGAAAAAGAATTTTCGGAAATTCTTTTTTTTATTATTTTCTTACGAAAAAAAAAAAGCCTTTACTTTGAGATCAACATTTTTTTTTTATTTTAGGCAATATTTGGAGAACAAATAAATTAAAATAAATAAATGAAATTTTTTAATTTTCTATTTTTGCTTATCACGATTAAATAATTTCATTGCAAAGAAAGCTGCGGTGGCCCAACACATAGAAATTAACGCGATATTTCTCAAACAGATTGGATAATCCGCAAAGCTATAGGTATAATTTAATGGTGAATTATGAATTTCATACCACCTAAATAGAAAAAAATAAGATTTTTGTTAGAACAATGTCTGTCTTCAAGTAATTGTTATAAATTATTGTACCATCTTGGAAAAAGTTCTTTAAGATAAAGAGCTTCAACTGCCCATCTTGGGGTAGAAATATCCCAAAGCCATCGAATATACTCGTATGATTCCCCGTGTTTAACCTCGTCTAATTTTGGGTTTGCTCCAGAAAAAACCAATCCCCAAGCCAAAGCAAATCCGGTTCCTATTAATCCGAGTTTTTCTAAAATCACGCAAGATTCGTTAATGTTAAAAAAGATAAAAGGGTTTCATTTCCATTATGATAAACTAATTTTACCTTTGGTGACTAATGCTGATAGGAAATAACCTAAAGGAAGGATTATTGTATTGATAAACATGCCTAAAGGAAAAAATCAATTAAAAGAGTGTTTACATACCCATTGACCACGCACTCCAATAGGATAATAAGACGATAGAATATAATTCGGTGAATTTAGATAAAAAGGGGTAGAATAAAACAAATGCGATTGAGAACATAAATGCCGCTAAAGCTATCCTAGGGATGTCTGCAATAAATTTTGACAAAAAGTACGGAATCGTTCGCATTCCTGACGAGGTATCGCGCCAATATACTACTTTTTCATAACCAAATGTTGAACCTCCGGCTAGGATAAAAAAAAAATCACGGATTGATATAAAAAGAAACCTTATATATTAAAAAGATATTTATGCGTTGCCTACCTGAAATTCCTGCGAATGTCACACCAAGAGCCAAGAAAACTCCAGCGCTCTAAGAATAATAATTTGTCATGTTAAAACTTTACGCAATATAATAAATACATTTATAAACAAACAACAAACCTGCAGAGTGTCTTTTGCCAAAAAACAGGCTGGAACAATCACGGCAGGAGTTATTGCACAAAGTTCTATAGGTGCCTTTCCAATATACGTAAAATTACTGGCAGCAAGTGAAATAAAAGCACCACATCCTATATGCAATAATTGATCCAATAAAAATTGGGTTCTATTTCTATAAAGTTGTAAACTAGCTCGTTTAAATAACAAAATAAAGGATACAAAAACATTTGGAGTTTCTCGAATTGGATCTCTCATAAAAAAAAGGAGAAATCTATTAGAGAAATCAAACAATTCAGATAATACGTCAAGAGTATAGTAATAAACATCTTGCAAAAGGTGTACAAATGGAATGTGAAAAGATAAGAAGGCCTCTTTGAGCTTTCGTCCAAACGAAAACGACGGTTTTCCTGGTTTTGTTCCAAAATCTAAACCAATTTCGACAGGAGTTTTTTTATCTGAACCAAAGGTTGTGGTTTTCCCTCCCGTACTATATTCTTCCCATGCTTTAAATAGATCTTTAACCGATACGTCAGTTTCTCCTCTGGATGGCTTAACTTTGCCAGACGCAACTTCCATCATAAAATCAGCTGGACTAAAAATATCGAATCAAATTAGAAATAATTTTTCAAAATTTTCAATTTGTTCACTAAAATTGAATTTACTGTACCTTTCATCGGTTGGACAGTCAAAACCGAGATTTTTGAAATAGTCTAAAGCATTTTCTCGTGGACCAAAATAAACAATCCTTCCTCCTTTACCAAGGAGCAAGAAATCATCAAATGTATTGAATGCTTGCGGACTTGGACTATGTATCTTCATGTTGTTTTAAAGATGAACATTTAATTTCTTATTTAAAATAAAAAGAATAAATTGGCATCATTACAATTGATACTTACAACTGCTGCGACATTAAGTTTTTGTTGGTGTGCAATATTTCTCAAAAGTTTGCAAACTTCTAGTGAAGTTGCTGAATCAAGACCGGAAGTGGGTTCATCCTAAAACAAAAGGCAAAAAAAAAGATTACGAAAAGTTGCAACTTAAAATCATCCGGATCAATTCACTCTTAATCATTCATATACCAAGAAAAGGATTGAAGGCTCGGCCACAAGTTCCATTCCAATATTTACACGTTTACGTTGTCCACCAGAGATACCTCTTTGTTCTATGATTATAAAGGATGTTAAAAGACTTATATAAAAAAAACATACGATCCGAAAATTCATAATCATAAACCTTCGTTGCCGATAATCGTGTCCATAACGTGACTTAATTCCAAGAATCTTATAGTTTCAATCACTTTTTGTTTCTTTGCAGCTCGATCCATATCCTTTGGTAAACGCATCATGGCGGAATGCTAAAATTTTTTAAAACAAATAAATTTGTAAATATTCGTCAACTTTTCACGTAAAAAATAAAATAAAAAAAAATGTTAAGATAAATAAAGGTAAAGCTTACCACCAGAATTTCTCGTACAGTCAGTTCTCGAAGCATTACATCTTTTAAAAAAAAAAGCAAAAAAAAAAGAGTTAATTCCCATTATTAGAATCACGTGATAAAATCAAGAATTAAAATTAACAAACCTTCTTGTGGCACGAATCCTATAAGTTTACGATATTTACTTAAGTTTTCTTTCACACCATTTACTATATATAAATTTTTAATAAGGCGATTTTTATAAATTATTATATTCAATAACTTAAGAGCATATGGCGAATTTATTTACTTTTTATAACACCATTTGTCCTTTTCGCTTTACCGGTCAAGAGGGAAACAAATGTAGTTTTTCCGGCACCTGAAGGACCCATTATCGCACATGTTCTACCATGCGACAGCTTTAATTTGAAAGATTAGATTATTTAAAATTACAACCTATGCCGCATTAAAACTTCATTTTTACTTTACCTTTCCAGTCACTCCCTAAAAATGAGGGTAAAATGTAAGCAAAATTATTACTCGTCGCAATCAAATTATATGATTTAAAATATGATAATCTTACCTTCATGATTGTAATGTCAGGAGGTAAAACTAGTTCAAGATTTTCAAATTCGATATCAAAGGTTTTATTTACAGGATCTAATGACTTTTCATGACTCATTTTTTGCTCATTATTTTTCAATAATCCTCTGTATTTTTTAGTTTTCAACTCATCTGCTTTATTGTTAACCGCAAATAATATAGCAATTACTATGGCCGCAAGGATAACCAGGGCAAGAATATAATATCTATTTGCCCTTCTTGAACCTTTAAAAATATGGCGTTGAAATTTTTGGTTAGTGAAGGTGCAACTTGAGATTAATAGTGAGCCAAAATGTTTTAAAAGTTACACCTTCTGGACAATAAGCTAAATTATGACAAGGTACCGGATCAACAGTTCCGATGGCGCAAAATGATCCTGAAAATTAAAGTTTATTAACCGGAAGTGAATTTTATAAGAATCTAATGATAAAGTCCGGAAAAATAAAAAGTACGCACACCTTTGGGGCATATATTGATTTCCGTTGCATCTGCATTACAATAATAACCCGCGCAGCAAAATACAGGTTGTGCTATTTATAATAACATGTCATGCGTAAATTATTTAGTACAAAGGAAAAAAAAAATGTAAAAAAGCATTCGCATTTAAACTTTTTATTACCAGAATTCTCCGGACATAAGAAGCCTGGAATTTATATTGATATTTGTTTTACATAAAGAAGCAATCATGTTTTGCAAAATTTGAACTTAATAAAGAGAAAAACCTACCTGCAGTGCATTGTATCCTATATTTAATGGATATGAATCATGTTTTGAATTAATGAAATTTAGAAGGAAAGTCAACATTTAAAGGAAACAAAACTTACGGTTTGTCCGGACTTAAGCAGAAATATCTGAAGGATATATGAGTTTAATTTAAAATTCGAATAATGTAACGTATATTTCAAATATAAATACCCAGCTGGACATGACCATGAAATTGTTCCATTTCCAAACCCAATATTATCTTCCGGTTGAGGAGTTGAAACATAATAACATGCGTCTTTATTATCCTATCATAAGAAACAACGGATGTTTAAAAGAACATTTTTGTTTAATTTAGCGTCAATTAAAATTTCAAAATAAGGTACTTCGGTTCCGGGAACGGTTTTGTTCTTGAGTAACTGTGAATAAAATCGCGGATCTAAATAAGGTAATATCTCATCTACCGTTGTTGGTATTGCTGTTGGAGCGGTTGGAGTGGGAATAGTGGGGGTTGGAGCTTCTTGTCCATTAGCAATATGAGAGTTATTAATTATTAATAAAATGGATATCAAGTAAAATATAAGCAGATTTAACATTCTTTATTCTTTATTTTTTTTTGAAGAAAAAGGGAATAAAAATTTTTAGAAAAAATATTTTCACAATCATCCTCTCAAGAAATAACATGGCTGTGAACTAGATGATAAAAGGAAATTTAATCTTAATGTAATGAATAGATATATTGAAACACTAAGCCAATGCTAAGCACGAAGTCCTTTACCGAGCGAAAAAGATAATTTATTTAATATTCTACATATCATAAGCCTCGATCTCCCATTATCTAAATGATTGTTAGGTATCGTCACGGCAAATTGGACAATAATTTCGAAATCGAAGACAAAAATAGGACTAATTTTATTCGTTAACCTTTATGATTTTCACAATTGAATCGAAACATTTCCGAAATATTTTCGCGCCATTTGAACAATTTGGCAATTATCCGTTTTCGATCTATTTTGATGAGGCTTGTATGCAAAGCCATACAATTACTTTTGATTATTTCATTAGAATTTTAACCAAAATAAAAATAGAAGTTTCGTATCAAATTAAATTTGGTTGTTTTTTAAAAAAAAAAAAAAAATAAAAAAAAAATATATATAATTTAAATTGCTGCGTAATATGACCTTCCTAATAATCACAATGTTGTGTTCGTGACGCATATACAATAAAAACCCTATGAAAAAAAATTAATCAATATAAATATAATAAAGATTTTCATTTAAAATCAAAATTGTCATCCGCATAATTCATCTTTTATAAACAACGAGAAGTATGATTTTTCGAGTTGATTTTTATAAATTTTTAATGTTTGAACTTTCCTCTAAAGAATTTCTTTTTTATCGCGTTGATTTATTTGATGAATTAAGATAAAATATTTCACAGTAAAAATATTGCCAATATGTGTCTTATTCATGAAAGTTATGTTTATCTTTTTATTGCAAAATCTGATTATTTCTTGGGAGTAATTCATGAAAATTTGAAGTAATTCAAACCAAATAATCAGATGATTCATTCTGAAAAAAAGAAATTCATCTCACTGTATATGAAAAATAATGAGAAATTCTTTATATTATTACAAAATGACGAATCAGCTGGCACGCATCTGCAGATCGTCATATAATCATCATATATACGTATGTATATGTTTATTCAATTAAAAAATGTCTTTTCTCAGTTGGTATAAAAATCACTTAACGAGACGACCAATTTTGATTCAATCTATTACCACGGGTAAATTTGTAATAATTTAGTTCACGAATATTCATAAATAAATTAATTAAAATTTAATGATTTTAGGAACATTATTTGCTACCGGAGATGTTCTAGCTCAACAATTCGTTGAACAAAAGGGATTGGAATCTCATAATTCTTTTCGAACTTTAAGACTTGGAGGATTTGGTCTATTTGTAGCAGCAAGTACTTGATGCTTCTAAATTCCGTGATTATAAATAATGTCTGTCTTTTAAAAAAAAACATTTCTTTTATGTTTATAAATAGGGACCATCCACTTCTCTTTGGTATCGATCTTTAGATCGATTTGTTACGATTAAAAATCCCATGTTAGGTAAATTCATATTGATGTAAAACACCTTGGGTTTTGATTCTATCGTTTAAATCATTTTGTCGCCATAATTATAATCTTTTTACAGGGTTAGTAACGCGCGTTTACCTAGACCAAGCTTTATTCGCTCCATGTTTTATAACAACATTTTTTATATGCCAAGCTTTAATGGAAGGTCAAGCTAAATCTCAGATTTTAGAAAAACTTGGTGATGTAAATATGATTTCTCTACTTTTACAGCAAGTTTTTTAATATCAATCAATGCTAATTTCTTATATCCTCTCTATATCAACAGGCGTTCGTGCCTACTTTAATTAATAACTATAAATTGTGGCCAGCCGTTCAATTAGTCAATTTTCATTTTATACCATTGAATTATAGGACTTTGGTTGTCAATTGTGTTGCTCTAGGTTGGAATACTTATTTATCCGTTATCAATAAGAGAAGTTCCGATAAGGTAAATGTTTAAGAGGAAAAAATTTAATAGAGGTTGAATAAATGTACCTCGTAAATAAATAAAAGTGTGGATGCGTTTTCCTTAAAAACATTGATCATAAATTTAATATAGATCAACCTATTTCTTTTTTTCTTTTGTTTTAATTTAAAAATATAATTTCTTTTGCTTAAATTGCTATTAAGTAAGATTTCTAATGTATATATTTCCTACGTCTAAATTTTTCTTCGTGTTATTTTATTACATACATATATATATTTGAAATATGCCACTCTTAACTTATTCAATGCTAATTAATCCTATTTATCTATATTTTCATAAAACAATTCAGACCATGCAAGATCAAATACAAGATTGCAGGCGTCGTTTCTTGAAGCGAATTAAGCCACATTCGCGATCAGCAAAGTGTTCGTCAGTGTATGAATGGTGGTTTTAAATGTTGTAGTCTTTTTTAATAAATAAAGAACTGAAGCCAAGTCATGTGTTATCCCAATAACGAAGAGGACAAAATATTTTTTTTTGGAACTTTAGTTCAATTTATATCTGAAATCACGTGATCGGAAGGTCAGATAATCACTAAACATCCTCCGATCAGGAATTTGTTCGACCAAACAAATTTAGCTGATGAAAAAGAATCTCGTGTCAAGGTAAATTTGAACTAAAAGCGGAATTAAAAAAATTTTTCAATAATTTTTGGTTGGTTTATTCTTTTAAAATGACTCCTCCTAATAATAATGATAAAAAATCCGAAAATGAAAAAGAAATTAATCATGATACCGCACGAAGAAGGATTTTACACCATACCAAAATATTAGAACCAAAAGAATCAAATATACGAGATGATGGTTCAAATACGACTATACTCGGTTTTCACTCTTCAAATAACAAGGAAAGAACTGGTAAGGCTCGTTAAAAAAATTTTTTTTTTTTTAATTGGAATTCGGTTTAACAAACGTTTTGTAACAATGTATATAGTAACTACGATTCGAATTGGTGATATTTCTTTAAGGGTTGCCAAGTCTAAACGTCCTGAATTGGTTCCTTATTATATTGATCCGCTTTTTGAAGAATCACAGGTTTGTATATTCATAATTCCGGAAATCGATTCTTTCTTAATATTAAAATATTTAACCTATTCACCTTTTTTCTGAATTTAAATCACGTGATTGCAAATTATCAGGAAGTACTTAGACATTTAAGATGGTAAATATTAAATGCTAGGTAATATTATGGCAGAACATGAGCATTCTATTGATATCATTCATACTTATATAGGATAATGCAAAAAGACAAATTAAAACAAGATATATTCCTTATTGGGTATATAAAAATATTATCGAGTTTTTACATTTGATTTTTTTTCTTTATTTTACCCAATCATGTATTAACCAATTTTTGTTATAGACTTCCCGGGCATTTACGTAGAGGACTAGTTCTAAAGTATGCTCAACTTACAAATCGAGAAATCGAGTACGTTCCATTATCAAAAGATTGTACTGATTCGGATTTAAAACAACGTCGTGAAATATCTGGAGGTACGGCGTATTACGTAGATCAAGCTTGCGTTAGAGCTGCTACTAATGGTCGAATATTAATCTTGGACGGTATTGAAAAAGCTGAAAGAAATGTTTTACCGATATTAAACAATTTATTGGAAAACAGAGAAATGTCATTAGAGGATGGAAGATTTTTAGTTCATCCAAAACGGTATGACTCTTTAGCTAAAAGAAATAAAAAAAGCGTGATGGATGATTGGAAACTTGTGAGAGTTTCAGATCAATTTATTGTTATGGCTCTTGGTCTACCAGTTCCACCCTATGTTGGATATCCACTGGATCCTCCGCTTAGATCAAGATTTCAATCAAGAGATGTAAAACCACCTGGATTTGATCCTCATATCAGACATTTAAAAAAATTGGCGCCTGATGCAAATCCAGAATTAATTGAAAGGTTGGCATCTGTGGCAACTGTTCTTGGATCAATGTCATTTGATGAAGGTGGAATTGAGATTCCGGAATTTCCGACTTCAGTGGATACGAGTGCTCTTGTTTTGCAAAAGTTTCCATATATTAAACCAAGATTTTTGTTGGACTTATTATATCCATGGCCTTTATTACCAACTTGTGCTGCTGAGCAAAAAGGTGTTATTGAATCGACTTATCATCGTTTCGGGATGCTTGGTTTTGAAATTAATAAGATAGCAAAAATCAGAACTGAAAGTGGTAATAGTAAGCCTGAGGAAGATATTGGTTTTCAATGTATGCCCGGATATAATTTTACAGATTTAAAATTATCAGAATGTAAGGAAAGAACCATGGCCAGTAACCTTCCTATTCATAAAATTGATTTAAATTTCCATTCTGAGATAACAGGAACAAAAGATCATTTGGTTCAAGTTTTTGGTGGTGAAGAAGATCCTTCAACTGCAGATTTCTTTGTTGAGACTAATTATCACAAAAGCTTATTTAATTCAATGTTAATTGCTCATTCTGTGGGAGATTTTTGCGTGCTTGGAGTAAAAGGTGTTGGTAAAAGTGCATTAGTAAGGCATTTTGCCATAAATCTTGGGTACGTTATATAAACAACTTTAATTTGTATTCATGTATATAATAACGTAAGTCTATCTTTTTTTTTTTTTACAGGTATACTATCGAATACATCCCATTATACAAGGACATGTCTGCTCGCGATCTTTTACAACGTCGCGGCACAACCTTTGCAGGAGACACAATCTGGGAGAATTCATCTTTAGTAAAAGCAGCGTTATCTGGTAGTTTAGCCGTCATGGATGGTATCGATTCACTTTCATTTGGAACGATCGTGACATTACAGCGATTTATAAAAGAACGTGAGATATCACTTCCTGATGGAACCCAATTACTTCATCCATCTAGATATCAGAAATTAATAGAAGACCATGGATTCACAAAAGAACAATTGGACAAAAAGGGAATCTCTGCTATTCACCCAGCATTCAGAATTATAGCCTTAGGACGCCCTGTTAGTGGTGGAAATGTTGAAGG